CATCATGTTACACAGTGACCTTTTCCCAAAGAGTGCAAAGTCAAGAAGTGTGTGTAGTACCATGGAATACTATGCAGCCATAAAAAAGGATGAGTTCATGTCCTTCACAGGGACATGGATGAAGCTGGAAACCATCATTCTCAGCTAACTATCACAGGGACAGAAAACCAAACGTTGCATGTTCTCACTCATAGGTAGGAGTTAAACAACGAGAACACATGGACACAGGGCAGGGAACATCACACACTGGGGCCTGTCGGGGATTGGGGAGCTGGGGGAGTGAGAGCATTAGGAGAAATACCTAATGTAAATGACGAGTTGATGGGTGCAGCAAACCAACATGGCACATGTGTACCTATGTAAGAAACCTGCACATTGTGCACATGTACCCTAGAACTTAAAGTGTAATTTTAAAAAATTCTTATAGAAATTAATTAAAAATAATAATAATAATTAAAAGGAAGTGATTATTTGGTGATAAAAAAAGAAGTGTGTGTAGTACATGCTAGTCAGATGAACTTCAGTGAATATTTGTAAAAATAAAAATGCTTTTTAAATTTAAACTTTCATTCTGATATAAGTGAAGACTTACAAAAAAAAGTTGCAAAACTAGTTTAAAAAATTCCTGTTTACACTTAACCTAGACTCTTCAATGTTAACATTTTATCACATTTGGGGGGCACATAAGGGAAAAAAAGTGGTAGACAAGGAACAGCAAATAAATTTATCTTGCATGCCACTTTCAGTCAATAGGATGTTGTTCTCTAGACAGTGTGTTTCGAGGGAATCTGAGGCTTCAGCCTCACACAGGGGAAAGACTATAGAGATTGATAGCAATACCTGTGAACATAAGAAAGAAAAAGTAAAAAAATCAATGATATATATCAAATAATAAGGAATATACATACCAAAGAGTGCTGCCCCATACTTTCCTCACCTCCTTACAGTGAGTTTCCTAAGACTCCTAGCTCATGCACATAAATACAACCCCATGAACCCTATATCCCCCAGAGACCCTAACTGACCAATGTCTTTTGTCTCTCCATCCTTCTCTCTCTCTATGTATGTGAACACACACACACACTTTCATAAATATTTGGAGACTAAATTACAAAGACACTCTCTTACAGAAAAAAATAATAAAATCAAAATAAGGCCACTAACATTAATATAATATTGCTGTCTAATCTAAATCTAAATACTTTGTTCTGATTTTTCCAATTGTGCAAATTACACAAGAATTTCATGAGCAGGGAAGGGACAGAATCAAACCTATTCTGGGGTGTACACAGAGCAGAATGGCCTACTGAAGCCTGGAGTAAGGTGCAGTCCATAGGGATAAAGCTAAGGGAGCTTCCACAGGCATTAGGCATCCTCTGTCAGTCCCAGACCCCAAAGATGCAGCCCCAAACCCCAAAGATGCACCCTCCTCCTTCTTCAGGTTCCCTAGAACTCCCACGTGACCTTCCACACTCCTGGTGTTGCCACAACCACACTGTCCTCCAGATAAACTTTGCCTGGCACTGACCACCCAAGGCAGTGGCCCCAGGACTCTTCCACCTCTTCAGCACCTAACATGGCTTGGAGGATCCACAGAGCTACATCAATATTACACAGATGAGACTGCTGTCCTGCGGACCTCAAGAGCTGTGGGCAGCCATAGAGTTCATCTCTCATCTCCATCCCCATTTACAAATGAGCAACTGAAGCTCACAGAACTAAGACTGTTAGGGGCAGAGGTGATAGGATGCCCTGTTGGCTGCCTCTTAGGCCTGGTGTCTTCCCCACACATCACACTGCTGTCTAAATTCCCCAGGCAAGTCATGATCTGTACATAGTATGAAGCTAGGGGTGTGGGTGGTGATTGGGTGGAGGTGATACCTCATGGAAGACCTGTGCCTACCTTGGGGGCTTATGGACAGATGGATTGTTCTTTTCCAAGGCTGCAAGGTGGAGTCCATCCACCTGAATGTGGAGGCTGTAAACACACACCAGGAGAAGGCTGAGGTAGGTGGGGGACTCTGTTGCCCAAGCTGGCTGTGGACACAGCGCATGGTGGAAGCACCTTCACAGAAAGGCTGCACCAACCCCACCGAGTCTGGCTGTTTTGCATCAAAAGGTGGAAAAACCACCACCCAGAAATGCAGGAACTACAGCCCAGATCTCATCATGGAGATGCAGGGCTGGCGCAATCCCTGCCAAAAAGGCCTCAGGCTAAGATTTCCCCCAGGCCTATCTGAGGGTGAGGATCCAGGCCTGGCTGAAAGAGGGGAGCCTGGCAATGAGGACAAGAGGCAGGGGGGAGGTTGGGGCCCTGCACTGCTGTCTCCTTCCTATTGATCCTGCGCTCTCTCCTCAGAATGTGGACATCACCCGGGAACTTAAGGAAGCAGTGGACACCATCCCTGCCCACTACCAAACCCTTCCCAGGAGGCCAAATTGCCTTTGCTCCTTTTTCTGCCCCAGGAGCTCCTGTCTCTGCCCTTGTTCACATGTCCGGATACCACCAAGCACCTAAGGAAGTTATGGCCTAGGCCTAATTTTGTCCTCAGTGGGAGAGCCTAGCTTCCAGCATGGAACTCGGCAGCTCAAGCCAAGTTCCTGCTCACAGTCACAGTCAAAGGCTGAGCATGGAGCTTTGTCTTACTTTGTAATTCTTGTTCTTGAGGTAACAAAGGCTTCTCTTTCTCCCTGCAGGAGAGAAGAGGGCATTGTGAAGCCTCCTTCACTGTCCATATGATCCTGTCTTGATGAGGCAGCCCCGGTCCTGTGCAAGCGGGAAGATTGTGAGGGTCTCCTAGAGGGACAGGCTCCAGGGCAGCATTTCCAGAGATGGGGAGGAATGCCTGTGAGCCCATCCCTTTATGAGCAATGTGACTAGGGGTATATCTTCCTTCTCACAGAGGAGACTCTGGCATCTAACTCATAGTGTTCTCTGCTCCTACTCCTGCTGCCCTCCTAGAGTTATTTCACTTTCCACATGGGTTGTATAACCAACACCCTAGAATCACAGGCCATGGACCCCTTATCTCCAGAATAGTCACCTTCTGTCCCTTTCAACTACCTACTCTCTGGACTTTATCATCACCTGGAGTTCCACCTCCGCTGTGTTCTTAAGTGCAACTGTCTGAGCACCTATACCCTCTCTCACTATGCAATTCTCGCAATGTCACTCCAGGACACCTAGCAGCATATCTGTCACATGAGAATCACTTAAGTGATATTTATTGAATAAACTATACAAGTTCTTGGGTCTCGTGTTCATTGATACTGCCTTTGTATCCCAATCCAGTAGCTGGATCTTCCCATATTTCCACCTGCTGAAAGCTGATCTACCCCCTTCAAACTAGAGCCGAGGTCCTGTCTCTCCCACATAAACATGTTGCTCGCTCCCCAAATATAGGGAAAAAAAGAAGCAGAGAGCACATCTAATTCACTTTGCAATTTCAATGTTTATTTCTGATACCAAAACTTGACAGCACACAAGGGGAAAAAAAGCAGTAGACAAGGAACAGCAAATAAATTTATCTTGCATGCCACTTTCAGTCAACAGGATGTGGCTCTCTAGATAGCTGTGTTTAGAAGGAATCTGAGGCTTCAGCCTCACACAGGGGAAAGACTATTGCGACTGATAGCAATATC